CTAGGTGTGGACAGTTTTGACGGGTTTTCATGCATTAGCCATACATTTAGCTATGGCTTCAGCAAATTTGTTCTTGGTCGTGTTATCCATTTTCTTGGCTTTGACATTATCCTTAGCTGTCTGTCTGAGACGAGGGGGCGGAGTACTCACATCAGATGTGTGCTTGGCCATTAAGTGGTATTTCAGACTCGACGTGCAATGATGATAGCTCAGTTTACGACTGCAAAACATACAGGTAACCTTGGTCTTGTCAGTGGAGCAATCTGGCAACTTTTTAAAAGTAAACTTTCCATTCATAAACCCTTTAAGTATCCGTTTTCGGTGTCTCACGCTGCCATGGCTGGCAAAACAGACATGGGCATGGACCTGTGCAGCGCGCTTGTTGTTTTGTTTCCGGTTTATTTATAGAGCAACGTAACATCCGCTGTGGCATGTTGCTGCATTAATCTCGCGATAAAAAAATCATGTTAAAATTGATTTAAATCAGGGGTGTCAAACTCATTTCTGCTAGGTGTACCTTAGCCTTCTCCGCTACGTACAATTTCTGTACATAGCTTGTAATAGAGGCTCTCGCTGGCAATCCGTAGTGGAGTTGTTAGATGCAATGCGAATGATTTCAGCTTGTGTCTAGCTGTGGACAATGTTGACAGGCTTTCATGCAGTAGCCATACATTTAGCTATGGCTTCAGCAAATTTGTTCTTTGTCGTGTTATACATTTTCTTAATGTGTCAACTTCATATATGAAACACACATACACATACAATACAGAGTGAAAATTCGTGGAGTTGCATGAACAGTAGAATTCCACCACACTTTTTTTGTAGTAAAGTTGCTGACCAGCATTGAATTGCACATTTTTCACCACAGTAAGATTCATCTTCACCAAGCTGTATTTTTTCAATGCAAACAGTATCTAAGGCTGCATTTTAAAGGCGTTAAATCTAGTCTGGACTTGTTTTTGCTCCTAATACTTGGCATCTTTTGGCCTATACAAGTGCATCGATATCAGGTGACATTTCCTGACTAGCTGTCACTTTCAGAATGTCATTTACGTGCGTGTTTGTGAGCCTTGAACACATTTTTGTTTTATTGATATTCATTACTGAGAAAATTTGTTCACAAAGGTAGGTTGTCCCAAACATGCACAAAACTTTAGCAGCCAGGGCTGTTAATTTGGGTACCCTGGTAGTAGATACTGATAAAATTTGTCCAAACTTACGGAGGCAAATTTTCCCTTAAAATCTGCATCACATTGCAAATCAATTATTTCTAGCTGTATTTCAACTGGCAGATCGGAAGCTTTAACTGTGAAAGGTGAGCGAAAAACTGAAAAGTGTACCTCAAGTTCACCAAATACCTGAAAACGTTTCTCAAACTCCCACAATAATCCTGCAATCTTGTCTTTGTACCTTTTCACGTCCACATCATGTCTGTTCACACACGCATCTCTCAGAAGAAATGAGCAGGGTTGCCAATTGCCAGTTGCGTCTTCCACAAAGTCAGCTTTAACTTAAATGCATGTATGTTGTCAGAAAACTGTGTGACAACTTTTTTGCGCCCTTGCAACATTTTGTTCAGATTGTTCAAGTGTTCAGTAATATCCACCAAAAATGCAAGGTCCTGTATCCATTCCTGAGATTGTAATTCCAACACCGGTTTTCCTTTTTTCTTCATGAAGTGTCCGATTTCCTCTCGTAGATCAAAGATATGCCTCAGCACAGCGCCTCTGCTCAACCATCTCACTTCAGTGTGGTATGGCAGGCTGTGGGTAATGTTGTTGTCACTGAGAAGTTTGTCAAACTGACGATGGTTAAGTCCTCTGGATCCGAGGAAATTTACAGTGCGAACAACCTCCATGACGTGGTCCATTTTCAAGGACCTGCAACACAATGCCTCTTGATGCAATATACAGTGAAATGTCCAGAAACGATCTCCTCCATTAAGGGCTTGTACTTTCTCTCTGAACTTTGTCGCGACACCGGCTTTCTTTCCTATCATCGATGGTGCACCGTCTGTCGTCAGGCTGATCGCATGGGACCAGTCCGCTCCAACTCTGTCCAGTGCAGCAACAACAGAGCTAAAAATGTCGTCAGCTGTTGTGGTGTCCATCATTGGCACCAACTCAAGAAACTCTTCAGTAACAGTCAATGTCTGATCAAGTCCACGAATAAATAAAGCCAGTCGTGCTACGTCTGTAACATCAGTGTTCTCGTCACTTGCAACAGAAAACGCAATAAATGACTTGACTTTTTGCTTCAATTGGTTGTCTAAATCTGTTGATAGGTCTGAAATCCTCTCTGCGATTGTATTCCTCGTCAGGCTAATATTGGCAAAAGTGTGTCGCTTCTCGGGACAGACTAATTCAGCCGCCTTCATCATGCATCGTTTCACAAATTCACCATCGGAATACGGCTTTGATGCGCATGCTATTTCGCTAGCAATTAGGTAGCTGGCTTTTACCGCTGCTTCACTGACTTGTCGGCTATGTAAGAAAGTTGACCGCTGTTTCTTCAGACCTGCCTGCAATTCGTTGATTTTTTCGCTTTTCAGTTGTCCTCGCAAGCCGTCATATTTTTCGTAAAGGGTCTCGCCGTAAAGAGTCTCGTTGTGACATCGAATATTATTTTCCTTCAAAACCGAAACTTGTTGCCAACACACCAAGCACAAAGGTTTTCCGTGCATTTCTATATATTTCTATATAAATATGACGTGGTCCATTTTTCATTTATAATTCGACACACCATATCTATTTTTCTCCGTTTGGATAATGACATTTTGGCTAATGAGGGTGTCGGGGAGGGGTAGAGACTAGCGTAGAAACAACGTCCAAACAAGCAATAGGTGGCGCATTGATACCGTCTGCTGTATTAGGTCTGTCTCACTGACAGGCTGAGACTGCTGTTGTCTTCGACTCTGATCAAAACAGTGTGCCCCCTAGCGGATAAATCATAAATTACATCTTAAAAATACTCATCCCGTGTCTTTTATGCATTTTTTCACTTCCATAATTATCCTGCGGGCCAGACCGAACCTCCTGGCGACCCGGTTCCGGCCCGCGGGCCGTATGTTTGACGCACTGATTTAAATTACCGTATTTTCACGACCATTCGGCGCACCGTATTGTTGGGCGCAGTCTCAGATACGGGTGCCATTTCTGTATTTGACACATACACAAAACGCACTGTATTACTGGGCATAGCCAGGCATGGTAAAACATACGCCAGCTTAAACATACGTCATGTATGCACGCAGGCTAAAAACACGTTAGCTTAAAGCATACGGTAGCAGCTAAGACATACGGACACACGCTAAAAACACGTTTTTAAAGAGGCAACGGAAGCAAAACTGAGTTCGGTTGTACTTTATTTAGCCATTTTACAATGTACTCACGCGACTGGTACCTGCTAGGGGCGTGCCTTTAGCGTACTCTTACACGCCTACCCTTCACTCATTGGCGACTGGTACCTGCTAGGGGCGTGCCTTTAGCATCCTCTTACACGCCCACCCTTCACTCGTTGGCGACTGGTGCCTGCTAGGGACGTGCCTTTAGCGTCCTCTCACACGCCCACCCTTCACTCATTGGCGGACTTCCGCATGCCTGTTGTCACTCACGTCCACCTTTTCTCTATATAAACAGCGTGTCGGCCAGAAGTGCTCTCAGTCAGGTTTTGGAACTCGGCACATACACAACATGCACCGCATTATAAGGCGTCCTGTCCATTTTGGAGAAAATTTAAGACTTTTAATGGCGCCCTATAGTCGTGAAAATACGGTAATGCCGATAATAACGCTCTAAACTGACAGCGCTAGTAAACAGTAATTATTCTTTACATACTTGAGACAAAGACTACAGCAGTACATATATTTACTTCAATCTTTAATTATAAAACCTTATACAGTAATTAACATTCATCAGCATTGCCTTCTGAGAGAGACAAAGAGACTTGTGTTAGTGGCGCTCTGACGGTGTAGCCGCGGTTAGCCTCCAGCTAGCTCCTGGCCAGCTATCCCCGCACAGCCGATGTGTTTATAATAAGACAATTAATCGGTATTGATAAGGAGGAGCCAAAGAGATGCTTTTTTTGGACTAGCCCAATCACCCCCACTCCCTCCACCCCCTTACCCGCCGCGCTCGTAGCAAATGCAACAGAAGAGAGTATGCCAAAGAGAGGCAGGCAAACGAGAGAGTCAACAGCGTGATGAAACACCGATCAGAGAGTCAACAGCGTGACAAGACACAAGGGAAGATGCTTAGCCAATCAGCTCATGGGATAAATGCACTCATGCTGTCATTGGTCGCACCGGGAACATAAACCGCGATGTACTGAAGCCACAATAAATGAAGCGTGATATCGCGAGGAATCACTGTAATAAGTTCCATGGTACTTTCTATGGTCCAAATACATTAAGATGGAGTACTAACTTTATAATTTATGTCAATAATTCCTTCCTCTGTTTGTGTTTTTATGTTTTTTGTTTTCTTCATACTCTTTCTTTCTTCTTACAGCCAGCTCCTGCTTGGACCACCTTTAGAGTTGGCCTTTACTGTGGAGTTTTCCTCGTCTTACTGGTCACTGTCATCATTACAGGTATGACACACACACACACTTTGATCCTATTATATTTGTTGCAGTGTATTGCAGTGTCTCAAGAAGGTTTGAGCATACAATCCTTGACTCGTTTTACACCCTTTTGGTTTTTGACCAGTTATAAAGCATACTGAATTCTGGCTATGCACAGGCTGACCAATGAAAAAGCTAACACCAATTCAGCACAGGGACTGCCCACAAGACCGAAGTTGAATCTTAACCACAAGTCAGGAGTTGCAAACTAAACTTCAAAACTTGCAACCAAAATTTCAGAATCTGGAACCAAATTTTAAAAAACCAAGTTGTATAGTTTTATGATGACACAATTATTTAAGTTTTGAAAATATTGGTCTTCTTTGCAAATTTTTTTTAATTAGAAATCCATAATTTTTGTTTGCAAAGTATTTTTTTTCAGGTCAATTTTTTTGTTTGATTGCAAAGATAGACACATTTTTTTCTCCATTTGAACCCATCACCTGATCTTCAAAATTGTTTGTACTTTTACTGTAATTGATGTGTTACACATTAATGTGGCCATTTCAATGAGCATTTTGACAAACATTTTTGGCAAATGTTGTCACACTGCAATTTTACTTAAGATTTAGAATTCGGTAAGACTCGAAAGAAATAGATTTTTTTTTTTTTTTTTTTGGTGTATACCTTTAAATCCATACCCCTTTTTTCAGGAGCTGTCATGTTTCCCATCGCTGACGTTTGGCCAATGATCAGAATCTACAGAGGAGGCTTCCTGTTAATAGAATTCCTCTTCCTCTTAGGTAATCACAACAAATGCGCGCGCGCACAAACACACACACACACACTCACACACACACACACACACACACACACACACACACACACACACAGAGTCTTGCTGTTTATCAACAGCCTGTACTGTACCCCTGAACTAGAACATAGTTAAAACACTGATAGAGTTTTAGTGGGATTTAGTTTAATATAATTTCATTATGTGTACAGGTAAAGGTTGGGACAAAAAGTGGACCAAGTCGACCACAAAAAATGGTTGACGGAAAATTTTTGCGCCAAGGCATTGCCGGCACCATTGGATGCCAACCTTGCAGTCATTTCCAGGTCACAGTCAATTAGCACCTTCTTTTGGTGGAAAGTTGACACCGTAGCCAGTGAGATTTTCCATGTTAGGAGTTAGAACACGTTTCCTCAGGTGTTGCCACAGTGATTATGTTTGCATCACAGTGAGCGAGCATGATAGTAGTGACTGGATTTTTTTAATTGTACAGCAAACCTCGGTTTTCAAACATCTCTGTTGTCGACCAAATCGGTTTTCGACCAAAAATTTCGAGTTTTTTATGCCTCGGATTTCGACCAAAAATCGGTTCTCGACCAAACTAAGCAAACCTGAATACGTCACTCGACTCCCCTCGTTTTCCGGTTCTCGACCAAACTAAGCAAACCTGAATACGTCACTCAACTCCCCTCGTTTTCCGGTTCTCGACCAAACTGAGTGCACTTCAATGCGCCACTCGACTCCTCTGGACTTCCTAACACGAGGAAGTGATGCTTCCTCGGGTAGACGAAGAAGTGACGCCTCCATTGTGAGCAGATATGTTCAATAAAAATTAAAAAAACAGACGTGTTTGTTGAGATCTGCGCAAATTGGACTGTTTTTTCTGCATGGCACCAAAGAAAGCAAGTGGAAGTAGTAAAGCTGGTGAAAAAGGAAAATAGTGCGCAAAACTATTGAATTTAAGAAAGATTTGATAGCGAAATATGAATCAGGTGTGCGTGTGTCTGTGTTGGCTAAGGAGTTCGGCATGCTGAAATCGATGATCAGCAGCATCCTGAAAAGGAAAGACCATCTTAAAGTCACTGATGTCGCTGTAGGATCTCGTGTGCTTAGCAAACAAAGGCCACACAGAGAGGAAGTGGAGAAACTTGCTTATTTTCATAAATGAGAAACAGCGAGCAGGGGACAGTCTACACTAGACGCTCCGCATTATAAGGCTTCCTGTCCATTTTGGAGAAAATTTAAGACTTAAAATGGCGCCTTATAGTCGTGAAAATACAGTAATTAAAAATGCAACTGTCATAATTAACTCAAATTCACTAAAAATTAATCGTGATTACTCACGCATTTTTGATCGTTTCTGAATTTCCTTTTATATTTTTTTGTCCTATTTTTCCCCATTTTAATGCTCTCATCAACGTGCAATCATGAATCAGTTTTCTATGTGCAAAATGCAAATATTTACTAAAACAATTTCGATTGTCAATTTTACCTGAACATTTTTCACTTGGAGCAGTTATTCACACACAATCTCTCACACAATATTACTGTCCATCAACAACAGTGAAAAAAATATTTTATCACACAACAGCTCCTTTA